TTTTTCAAAGTAAGGTTGTGGCGGAATTAATTGTGGCGGCGTGTAGAGATTATGGTCAAGAGTATTTTCTGCTCTTCTTACTGATTCAGACTCATCTTGATTTACATAATATTTTTAAATATTGTGATTAGTATGTTATATTTCACAACCAAAATTGTAAAGTGAATTTACTTATCCTTATTTACTTTAAAAGCAGAAAAAGTGAAAACATTAAGTTTCAGATTGATGCATTTCCTTATTGTTTGTTTTAGTTGTTTTTTTCAGCATAGATACTATAGCATTTGAGGGGTCCTGGTGCATACTGCCCTAAACCCACAAAATCTTTAAATGTGAGTACTTATAGTTTCATCACTTCGCAATAGTGTTCAGGTTACTGGAATAGCTTGTAGCAACACCTGTTAGCATGGGTCAGAAAAAAGACATTCTTTATGCCAAAAAAATTCTCTTACTACTGTTAAAAACAACTTATTTCAGCACAAAAACTTACAACCATATTAGACAGTTTTTGAAATATTAACTTCCTATTTAATAGTTTCAACTAGAAATCTTGAAGAGAATGTTTTTTCAAAAAATAACGATAGAAATATGAAAAATCCGGCAACAGTGGCTAGTCTCTTAAATCAATACTTTTTGAGAATTGCTGCCGATCTCACTAAAGGTTTTCAGCCACAAAATTCAGCAGCAGACGTTTCCCCAAAACGTTTAGACACGATGTTCGTTTCCGAAAAGTTCTCAAAATAATCAGTAGACTAAAAATAAATATTCGGCCGGTTTAGATTAACTTCCGGATTGTTTGTGAAAGACTTGTGCGCCCGCCATTATAAACCCGTTAACTCACATATTTAATGTATCCTTTTGCACAGGAATTTTTCCAGATTTCTCAATTTTTTTCAGAAACAGCTAATATTAGACCGCTTTTCATAAAAGGCAACAAAAGTGAAATTCAAAGTTGTCGGCCAATTTCTCTTTTGTTTTTCAAAAATATTATAGTCTTTTTTACGTACGAATGGAAACATTTCTTATTAAACACAACGCGTTTTCAAATTGCCATAACTGATTTCGAAAATCAAAATCTACGGAAACGGTCAATCTTTTTGTTAAAGCAGTTGGTTCATCCATGGATCCAAACGAAGAACTTATTGTAATATTTTTAGATCTTTCAAAAGCTTTTGACATCATTGATCATAACATTTTTTTTCTAAATTACCTTGATATCAAATTCGTGGAATTGCTCTAGATTGGTTATGTTCGTATCTTAAACAACGATCTCAAAGAGTAGAAATAACTTGTTGGAAGAATGGAACATTATGTACACACATTTATAATTCTTTGCTAATTGTACGTGGGGTCCCGCAAGGATCGATTTTAATCACAATTCTCTTCCTACGTAAACGTTATGTTTTTTTGAAGAACTCAAAAGACGTTGATATTCCACTGCACCAAATGTTCTCCAGGAAGGTGTGGTATGTAAGGCTATTTTAATTCAAATAATTAAGTGTCCGGTCACTTTCATATCCGCTGTCCTGTTAAAAGATATGATACTGAATTGGAGCAAGTAGCCGTGATAACATTTCAGTGACGAAGGTTTTAGTCCATCACCTTCCTGAATGGAGGCTGTGTCTCAACATCGGAGTAACGCATTGCTGAGTAGAGTGAGGTTCCAGGTTCGATTCTCGTAGAATCCCCATAGTACTACACGTGAAAATTGTTACGACAAAACAAGTTCGCATGCTTTACAGGGGCTTTTGCAACCTCTGTGAAGTGACCTAATCCATACCCCAATCCTAATTACTTCCAATTCTGGCCGCTGTGTAGTGACGCAGGGGCGCGTACGCGGGGTTGTTACTTGGTGGTCCTCTTGACCACTGACTGCGACGACACGTGACAGATATGACATTGAAATATTAATGGAGGATTACTCCCGAGCTGATATCAACGGAGGATTACTCCGAAAGCGCAAAGCGCTTAACGCCCCCCGGTGCTTGGCGGCGGGTTGTGTCAACTGAAATGCAACGAATTTTAAAAAAAGGAAAGTGAAGCCGAGGGACAGAACATGGGGCGCGAAATCCTTTTAAAGCGTCATGAATTTTCATTTTATCTACTGAACATTTGAAGTTATGTAAACTTACAATTTTCCTGAAAGAGGTCTTTTACTACGGGGGAAATTAAGAAAATTGCTATTAAAGGGATGGTTTGTAGTCGGTCTGTTAACAGTTTCTTAACAAAAATTAA